TTTCCAAACAGGATGGCATCGCCACAGATCAGCTTTTGCATGTGTGTGTGTGTAAATTAAAATATATGTGTTGGAAGCCACCTGTGGGGCACAGTAACAAAAAAAAATTGCAGTTCTAAAACCTGGGAGGATTGCACTCTCCCTGCTGGGTGCAGCGGTGTCTGTCTGGCTTTCTGGAACTGTCTGCTGTGCTGTCAGCGTGCGTGTTGGTGTGTTGTTTTTTCTGCAGAGGTTTTATCTGCAGCACAGATGACAGTTTGGTGGCAGGAGTTCAGCCTCTGCATTCAGCTCCAATGACATTCAGATTTAATGTCCTGCTGACAGACACATACTTCAAGCTGCAGCTTCAAACCACACAGAGACGTGATAAATAACAGAGAGACTGCGTCACTTTTCTACTGAAGGCTTTTAGTGCTCATTATTCACCTTATCATCATACATCACCAAACTGCTGCTGGAATTATTGACTCAGCATTTTCAGACACGTTTGCATTCAAGACAAATGTTGGCAGTTAGAGCGGCATATCTTAAAGTGATAGTTCAACCAGAGCTAATATAGAATTAACACAAAACAGAAAATAATTTATAGAAATAAAAGAAATCTCTTTTAACAGAAATAGAGTTCCTGACAGGACTGATGAGCTAACGGCTAGTCCAAATATTTAAAAACCTAAACTTTGTCATTTTAACGTTTCAGTTAAACAACAAAAAATAAAACCTGTGCTTTGGGAGCTAACAAAAAAACGGCAGTCTTTTTACATTTTAAAGCTTAACAGTAATACATGAATGACTTGTGTTTATTTTAACTTTCATCCCATTATGAAAACAAATTTATGATAATGATATAATGCAAATCTAAATGATATTTTTAACCTTCAATTTCCTTAAATAGAATACGTGTCAAACGAATGGCCTGCAGGCCAAATGTGGCCCGTTGCAGCATTTTATGTGGCCCGCGAGAACTTCAAAGATGCATTAATGTCTTAAAATAAGCTGCTTTAAAGCCAGCACTGACCATAAACTACATCTCCCATAATGCATCATGATTATTTTACTTGCAAAATGATGGCATGCCACCACTAGGTGGAGGTGAACAGGGTTCAAAATTACCTGTCAGGTGGAGAAAATTGCTGTGCAGTCTCAATTTTGCTGAATTTTAATCAGCTATTTTTGCTGCCTCCCAGTTGTAAATGGGGAATTTCCCACTTAGAAGGCACAAATTTTAATTGGAACGCTCCTCCAGTGGGAATTCCCTGTTGGAAAGTGGGAGAACTCCGACTACCCCATTTCAGAGATCAAAAAGGCAGCTACTCACTACAACTCATCACTAAGTAAAACTCTTACTTTTACTTTTAATAGTATTTCTGTATTATTTATTTCACGTTTAATCAGTCGTACATGCAGTACATGTCAGTGTTGCTTCAAGTCAAATCTCCAAAGGTGCTAGTGTTTTATTCAAACGTTAAACTTGTAACTTTATGTTGTAATTCTGGCATAAATATTATATTACTGCTAGCTAGCTGCTTCTGCCTGTATTTACACAAATATATAAAAATAAATAACCACGTAATAACATTAAGAGTGAATAAAGGTTCATAAAACTTCGTTCAGATTTGAATTGTTTTAAGACGGCAGCAGCCCATTTTGATTTTGAGTCCACCAGGACTAGCCATTAAGCTCACCCACCTCGTTAGAATTTAGCTCTATTTCTCTAATCAGAAGTCATTCTGATAGCTATGTACAACAAGATTAAGATAAAGTAAGATATTGTTTATTCATAACTGTTCCACAGAATCTCACCACAAGAGATCTGAAGTTAATGCAATCAGTTTTCATGTAAATTATATTTAATAAATCCTTAGAAAATGTTGCTTTTTGTAAAATAATCACAATTTCACATTTTCTACACCTGCTCCTTCTAAAGTCCACAGTCTTCTGCATGGTTTAAATTCAACAGGAGGAGAATTTAGCCTGAAATCAGCCCATCAGTGTCAGCCTCCTGTCCACTGCTGACACACACAACTGCAGAGTCATCTGGGTCGTTCTGTTGGCAGGACTCTGAGATGTACTAAAGGGAAAACTGTGAAAGCAAAAAGTCCCGAGTGGTGCAGAGCTCGACAAAGAACCTTTTCAGTGTTTGCAAAAATGTCACTTTTAAGCAAATGGAGCAACAACCCTGATGTTCCTGAACTCAGTGGTCCTGGTGAAAATGTTTCTGTATTGCCCTCGACAAATGTTAGCAAAACTAATAAGCTGGTGTAAATTCATAATCGAGATCTTGGTAATGATCTGCTTCATGCAGTAAGTTGCTTCAGTTAAAAGCTGCAGCGAGAGGAAATCCACAACTGAGAGGCTTTTCTTGATCTTGCCTGCTACTCGTCCCAACTCTGATTTTGTTGTCATTTGGTGTGTTGTGATGAATGAAAACTAGATTATTGTGTAGCAGTTGTTTAGTGCTTTTAAAGCAGAGACCAGATAATCTGTCTGCTGCTGTTACTGTAGATTATTTCTCTTTTTCCAATCTGAACCTCTGCAAAAATAAATAAATAAATTGAGTATTTATTTGATCAAATAAATGAAAGAACTAAAGCAGCTCTGTTGGGTTTTTTTTGTCAATGATTGAAGGCGGTTGTCAGGATTTGACAGCACGTGACCCTGAGCGTGCATGACATCCTCTTCCTGACCCACTACCCTTCATCACCCACTCACAGCTCCAAACCCACACAACACATTTGTCACCTGCGCTTTTGTGAGTCTGTAATCCCACGTGGCTTATGCACTCATGCTTATTTGGGTGTTGTGATTGCACTTGGCATCATGTGTTTGCCTGTGAACACAAGTGTGTGTGTGTGTGTGTGTGTGTGTGTGTGTGTGTGTGTGTGTGTG